CCTCCTCTCCCTTCCCCTCTTTTCCCCTTCCCCTTCCCCCTTCCCCCATTCTCTCTCTTGCTTCTTTCTCCCTTCCTCCTCCTCCTCTGTATCCTTTAGAGGTAGCTCTTTGGTTCAGGCTCAGGGAGGAAGTGAGAGGACTCTTTGTCCCTGCTGGAGGAAGGAGTACCTCATGGAACCCCTCAGGGCACCTTGGAGCAGGTGAACCGTGACACCCTCCTCCTGCAGGTTCCTAGGAGGTGAGTGCGGACGGTATGCAAAGTTGTGAATCCAGTGGCGAAAGTGCGGATGACCCTCTCAGTCGTGGCCTGCGGAGAAGGGGACAGCCTCGCGTGGTGGTGATTGGTGCTGGCTTGGCTGGCCTGGCTGCAACCAAAGCGCTTCTGGAACAGGGCTTCACAGATGTCACTGTGCTTGAGGCTTCCAGCCGCATTGGAGGCCGCGTGCAGAGCGTGAAACTCGGTAAGTTTGACCTTCACCATGCCATCTCCCTGGGTCATCTTTTACCCTGTAAACTCCTGGCCCTGCCAGAAATCTCATTATTTTGAGCTTCTTCTTTGGAATAAACATTCCATCATGCAGCCTGTCTGCGCATTTTCCAGAAAGTTCCTTAGTCCTCAGCAGCCTTTTGGTGGGGGCATGGTGGGGCTCTGAGCTTCAGTTTTGAAGACTGCTGACCTGGAGCAGCCCTCCGAAACCCTGGGACTCTTTGCTGAGCCCTGGTTGGCTGGCTGGGAGCCTCAGGGAAGGGCAGTGCCACTTATGAGTTCAGTCTTGATGACATGGTCAGTGTCTGACATGGAAACAGAGGCTTACAGAGCTTAGAAGGGATGAGACACTCAGCAGTATGCTTCGGCAGGCCAGTTACTTTGTTGAAGAAGAAAATTCTGCAGCTTCCTATTAGTCCTTACTGTTTGAGTGTGAACTAGTGTACCCTGGCTGAGAGCTAGCCCTACAGCAGTAGAAACTGAGGTTAGCCGAGGTGGAAGGAGGAGGTGGCCTTCTTGTGATGGGTACCTGAGTCTTGGTGTTGTCTGTGAGTACTATAGACAGTGAGGATGCTGGAGAAAGCAGCCAGTAGGAGACTTGCCCTTGGGATGGGTAGGTTTTGCTGGAGGACCTAGAAATGCCAGGAGATACTACGTGAAATGCAGTTAGAGATCATGGATTCCCAGCCAGTGGTGGGTCTGACAGTGAGGGACTGAGCAGATAAAGACCATAAAAATGGCCCAGGGAGACAGCACATGGTGGGCTGGAGTATGTGGGTGACGTGTGCCACTAGAGGATTTTTTTTGTGTGTGTCTGTCCCCACCCCAGCCAGCTCACTTGCTCAGGGAAGGTGGTGGCTGGGCTGAGAGTGGCAGAGGTGAGGACACAGAGACTGTTTTCCTTCTCATGGGAGCACTGGTTGCATGAAGATTCTCCCTGAGAGCCGCACCTTGCAGGCACATGGAGTTGTGTCCTCCTCATTTGGCACACACTAGAGCCTCTGCTGGCAGTGGGGAGGAGGATGCCACCCAACGTCCCTGTAACCCTGGAGCAGCCCTCAGAAACCCTGGGACTCTTTGCTGAGCCCTGGTTGGCTGGCTGGGAGCCTCAGGGAAGGGCAGTGCCACTTATGAGTTCAGTCTTGATGACATGGTCAGTGTCTGACATGGAAACAGAAGACAGATGGCCTGGTCACAGCACCAGGCAGCTGACAGCTGAGATGTTCTGGATATAGCAGGGAGGTGATGGTACCAGGCAGGAGGCTGGGCAGGCTTGTGGACATGTACGGGTGCAGGTGGGTGTTGGTGGCAGTGCAGTGGGGGAGGTGGCAAGGAGAGGGAGAGGTGGCTCCTGGGAAGTTACAGGTGTAGGGAAGAGCAAGGGGAGGGAGGGCGTGCCAGGCTAGGGTTCATACGTCTATGTCATGAGTGCCGCATGCAGGCCTGAGAGCTGGGCTCCAGCTGGGCCTGCCGCAGCATAAGCAGCATGAATGAGGGCTTTGAACTTGTCGGTGGGGAGAGTGAGCCTGAGTCAAGGGCCAGAAGGTGCAAGGTCACGACATGTTTGTGAGGTCAGTGTGGAGGTGGTGCTGGGGCCCTTTGGACCCACAGGTGTGGCGAAGCTGACAGCATTGGCTGTGTGGGAGGGCAGGAAACACCCTTGGACGGGGCTTGCTCTGGGGTCTCCACTTCTTGGCCAAGTGTGGGCTGGGGATAAAGTAGGATGCTGACTTTGCTCCTCACCTTGCGCTGCTTAGCCCTGCCTGTTTGCTGAACATCCCAGGGCGGGAAGGGACCCTGTGTCAGGGCTGCCTGGTGGTTGCGTGCCTTGGAGCTCGTGCTGTGGCCTGGGACAGGTTCAGGCTCCTCTTCAGAGCACTGGGCAGACGCTTTGGGGAGCCCTAGGCTTGAAGAGGGTTAGTGCTCTGGAAGGTAGCCCTTGTAGGCAGAGCCCCAGCACTCGAGCCTCAGGTGTCCTCCAGTTGGCCCCGCCTTTGTCCAGGTGGACAAAGGAGCTTGCACTTTCCTGTTCTTCCAGAGACACAGGAGTTGCGGTCTTGCTGGCTGCGCACAAGGTTGTGCTTTCTCTTGTTTTTGGCATATGCATGCCTATGAGGGGTATTTTTAGTAACTGAAGTTTAGTTAGAAGTAGCTCAGGAAAAGAGGCGTGCATGCCTAGTTCTTGGTCTGAGGGCTAATACTGCTGACTATTAGAATGTGTCAGATATGTACTACTGCATAAGAAACTGCCCCCAAGTCTGACGCCTTAAAACAGCACCCTTTCGGGGGCTGGGGAGATGGCTCAGTGGAATAAGCACTTCCCTGGCAAGCGCAAGGGCCTGAGTTCAATCCCCGGTTCCGCAAAAAAACCAAAACAAAACAAGACAAAAAAACCCCAGCACCCTTCGTTTGCTCGATGTCTGCCTGTCAAAATGTGGTTAGGACTCCAGGAAGTGGGTCTTCTGCTGGCCCCACCTGGGCTACACCAAAGGGTGCTTCTGAAGGTTGGCTGATGTTGGTTAAGATGTCTGAGATGGCCTCACCCAAGTGCCTGTGGGTGGCATGGGCTTTTGGTTGGGCCACATGTCTCCAGCAGGGCATGTCTGGGTTTCTTTCTGTGGTTGTCACATCTCAGAGGGTGAGAGTGGAAGCCACGAGGCCCCTGAAGGCCTTGGCTCTGAACCACAAATATCGTTTTCTTGACATTCTGTTAATCAAGGCAAGTCACAAGGCCAGCCCAGCTCCTTGGGCTGGGGAACAGACCCCACATCATGGTGGGAGGAATGGCACATGCTTGTTGCCAAGGGGGGTGGGGACAAGGATAGAGGACTTACTGTGACCATCTTCGGAAGAAATTCACCACCCATGTTTTGAACCAGGTCTGCAAAAGCAAAACAAAGCACCAAAAATTGTTACTATCTAGCCTCCTTGCCTTGTTTTGGCTTCTTGAAAGCTAAGCATGGAAGGACCAAATGTGTGTCTCAGTCCCTGCCACATCAGATGAGGAAACCGAGGCAGAGGCTCTAGGGACCCTGTGGGGCTGAGGAAGTGGAGCCCCTTCCCAGACCTGTCCTAACCTGAACCCTGGTGTGGTCCCCGCCCTAGACAGGCTCTCACGGTTTAGTCCCCTGTGCCAAAGGATTAGAGAGCTTCATTTTTCCTGGAGGTCTGTTTTTGGCTGCTCTGGGGAGGAATCTTCCAAGCCAGAATGTTGGCTCTGTCTCTGCTACCCTAGACTGCTTTGGGAGGGGACCACTTTCTGGCTGGGAGAAGGGTTGGACTCTGGGCCACTGGGGTGACAAGGAGTTAGAGTAGGGGCAGACAAGGGTCTTGGGACCTCACTGGGACTCTGCTGTTCTGGGGTGACTTCAGTGTCCCTCCCTACTGGGAGGAAGGGGTATCTGGTATCTGGTGTCCTCTCGGGAGAAAGTGTGACTGGGAGAGGAGGCCTCCTGACTGGCTCTGGGCACATTCCAGTCACTTTGTGTGGCATCTGTCTCAGCTGTGCAGAGGGTTTCATTGGGAACATCCCCTGAAGCCTTTGGTTGGCCTCTGGCAGGGAACTCTAAGCCCTTTTCTGCCCTGGTGGGAGGAGGCAGGGTGCTTTTGTGCGAGGGTGGGGAGCCATGTTCTGGCCCTGTCTGAAGCAGACCCTGCCCCTCTAAGGGCCTGTTGTTGTCACTGTCAGGACACGCCACCTTTGAGCTGGGAGCCACCTGGATCCATGGCTCCTACGGGAATCCTGTCTATCATCTAGCAGAAGCCAATGGCCTCCTGGAAGAGACAACTGATGGGGAGCGCAGCGTGGGCCGCATCAGCCTCTACTCCAAGAATGGCGTGGCCTGCTATCTTACCAACCGCGGCCGCAGGGTCCCCAAGGACGTGGTTGAGGAATTCAGCGATTTATACAACGAGGTGAGGGGGCAGCTGGGCATCGCGGCGTGGGGAGTTGCGGGCTCTGCTGGGGGGACCTTCAGTGATCTGGTTGTGTCTTTGTGCCTTCTCTGAGCTGAGCAGTTTGAGGATAAAGTGAAAATGACAACTGGAGAGGTACCAGGAAGGCATTATTGATATGCAGCATTAAATATTTCTCCAAAGGCCTCCGACATTAGAGTTAGCCCTAAGTACTTGGGTGCGATTGTTGTTGTGGTCATCCATTTTTGGATGCTCTCTCTTTCTCTCTCTCTTTATGTTTTTAGTACGGGATCTACAGGGTCTCACTACACAGATTGGACTCATAGTGATCCTCTTGTTTTCAACCTCCCAAGCACTGGGATTACAGGCCCACCACCACACCCAGTCTCAGTGGCCCTCTCAGTATGCCCTGGGGACGGGGCTAGCTGAATGTTCTTTTGACTAATCCTTTTCGCAATTTTGTTTTTAAATTGTTTCTGGTAGGTAGTGATAAAACTGATTTCATTTTGTTTTTGTGGTGTTGGGTATCAAACCCAGGGCTTCATGCAGGCTTGGCAAGTGCTCTACTGTGGAACTACATTGCAGTGCAGTGGAACTGAGCATTATAGATTGATTTTAATTCCTTTGGTGATTTATTGTTTTAGTCCAATAATACATTTGTTAATACTAATTTATATTTGACTAGTATTCTGGTATTGATGTATATAGTCCTCTGTAAGAAGTGAGAATTCTTTCTTCTTTGGGATCCATAGACCAGCATTGTCTGGTAGAATTGACACAGTGATGGAAATGTTTGAGACTAGCACTGCATAATACTGTAGTCACCAGCTGGGTGAAGCTTCTTGTCACTTGAAATGCAGCTAGGAAAATTAAAGAATCAAACATTTAGTTTGAAATTGCTATAGTAGTGGTTATTGTATTGGGTGCATAGCTTCAGATTATTCCTCTTACCTTACTGTACTGATTAGCATTTCATTCCCGGGTTGGATAGAAATAGTGATGGTGCCAACCCATATAACTATCACCTTGAATTTTTCTGGTTTTTAAAAAGTTACTTTTAGGGGGGCTGGGGAGATAGCTCAGCAGCATAAGTGCCTCCCTGGCAAAGCGCAAGGTCCTGAGATCCCCAGTACTGCATGTGGAGTGGGCCTCCAAAACTGGGTGTGGTGGTGCACGCCTGTAGTCCCAGCACTGGGGAGCCTGAGACAGGAGGATTGCTATGAGTCTGAATTGCATAGCAAGTAGAGACCGTGTATCAAATAAATTCTTAAAAAGTTACTTTTTCCCTGTCTCCGTGGAACCATGAACTGCACTGCCCAAGCAAGGTGACATGAAGTGTGTAGACCTTGTCTTTTGCTCTCCTGTCATTTGTGAGGCAATAACCCTCCATTTCAGCTCAGTGAGTGGGCCAGCAGACACCTGCTGGACGTTTCCTAATCTCTCATTTCGGGCTGGCCCCAGCTTTGTGGAGGACTAGCCCAGTCAGTGTTCTGTGTCCAGGCACTGACAGGGAGTGCTGTGTGCAGTTCTGTGGTAGTGTGTGTTTGCATTTATGTGCAGAGAGATGAAATCATTAACAATCAGAGAAGAGCCAGCACTCCTCGAAGTAGCCCTTCGCTGCTTGCCAGGCTATTGTGAACTTCAAAGCATGTATGATTCCTGAGAATAGCTTTCAGGGACTATAACTTAAAAAAGAAAATGAAAAGAATGTATATTAGTATATGTTTGTGACACTAATAATTGCATGCATCCTGGGGAATTGGTACATAGATGTGTTATCCCGTGAACAGTGTTACTCCTCTTTCCCTCCCCTGCCCGCTGGACACCTCCCCATCTCCACAAAGTCCACTTCCCTGCTCTCTACTAGCTCCTTTTGATTTTGCTTTTAAAATTATTTTTACTTTATGCTTCTCTTACTAAGGCAAACCATGTGATATTTAACCGTCTGCATCTGCTTTATTTTACTCAGCATTATGGCTTCAGATTCCATCCATCTTCCTACAGATGCTCATCTGTCTTTTTTATGATGGGAATCTGCACCACGTCTAAGGGAGAAAGCCATTACCACCTTCTGGTCCCTTTTATTTTTTCAAAGGCCAGAGTGTAAACTGCGTAAAAGAAGGTGGATAAAGTGGGCTGTCGATCTGGGTGGTGATGGTTCAGGTCTCAAGGAGGAGGCGTAACGATGAGGTCAGATTTCTTTGTGCGGCCCTTTAACCAGCGCTGGTGGTCGTTCCTCAGAGGTGTGTTCTCAGCGTGTGAGGCCCTGCCCAAGGCTGGCTTCATGGTCAGTAGGGTGGTGACATTGAAGGGCTACCCATTTATATGTTCTATATCTTGTAACAGATGAATGTGTATGCACAGCAGTGTCATACAGAGCTTAGTCTCTGGAGGAGTGCATTTGATTTGAATATAAGTTTGACAATTCAAGTGCTGGCTGACAGCGCCAAGGCCACTTGTTAGCTGTGTAACCTTTTTTTTTTTTTTTTTTAAGTGTATTTAGTACAGGGTTTACAGGTCTCACTATGCAGCTTGGACTCATAGTGATCCTCCTGTTTTCAGCCTCCCGAGTGCAGGGATTACAGCGCACACCACCACGCCTAGTCTCAATTGCCTTCTCAGCATGCCCCAGGGGCAGGGCCAGCAGAGCATGCTGAGGATCAAACCCTGGTCTCTGCATCTGCCTAAGCAGGTGCTTTAATCCACTGAGCTGTCTGGCTGGCCCTCCTAGCTGTGTAGTCTTGACAGTGATGAAACCTCTTTGACTTTCTTTCATAGTGTTGAAAGGGCTCACTGAGATCCTAATGAAAAGTGCCTAATACAACTTGGTAAGGGTGGCATTTGCTGTCATGGACTTGTCCTGTTGCCCTTGGCTCAAATCAGGAAGTTGTTATTTAACCCAGGGCACCTTGGGACAGGATGTCCACACGATAAACCCATGTTCAGCTAAGGATGTCCCAGTTGGTGGTGGACATGAGAATCACAGAGCTAGCCTGAATTGTTACTCCTCAGCTGGGCGTTGGGGCCTCTCCCCAGCATGAGCTGAGGCCTGGCTGCTATGTTGCTTATCACTCAAGGAAAAAGCCAGGGAGGAGGAGGAGATGAGCCAAGAGCCTGGCTCCTGGGCACTGGTCTGGGGTGAGGAATTTGCTGAGGACTTCACTTAGAGCTGAATACCCAGCATCTTGTGACTACAGGGGAGACAAACGAACACCTTAGCTCATTTTCCTCTGTATAATTTATACTTTAGAGACATGTCTGATTTGTGTTTCTGTCTCCTGTGGAGGAGGCCTTTCCCTTGAGTGGAAGGGTGCAGTTTGGGTGGTGACAGCAGTCAGCTCTGCCACCTTCCTTCACTGTGTGTCCCCAGGCTCTGTCCTGAGGCTCGGGTGCAGGGCAGGCTTCACTCCCCATGAATGTATGCCAACTGAATCCCAACTCTGCACACCACCAATCAGCTCAGCCACAGAGGTTCAGCCAAGGCGCCTGCGTTTGCCTGTGTCCTGGGAAAGACAGTAGTGGGTGGGTATCTGGCTGTTTTCTTAGCCTTTCAGGGATGCCGGGGCCTTGGGTTGAGTCCACTGTCCTTGACATGACCTGGCCCCTGCCTGCCTCTCCAGAGTCATCTTTTGCAGCATCTCTGTCCTTGCAAGACTAGCCCACTTGAAGTTTCCAAGTGTGACACGCCCTTCTCCTCACCTTTGACATTCATTTACAACCCACCATTTCTGAGTCTCTGAGTTGTCTGGGCTGATGTCACACCCTGGGTGCCTTCCTGTCACAGTGGGTCTTGTGGAAACAGCCAGCTTGAATGTGAGCTGGAGCTGGGAACCCTGCCTATCTCCTCATCTCACAAATCATGTCTAGCATGGAACCCAAATAGTGCACATGGAGCAAGCTCAGAGGGGCTTACCTCCTTGGGAAATGTGTGGTGGCTGCATACTGGTTGGCAGGGGAGGCAGGAAGACCCCGTTCTAGGAGTCCGATTATCCCTCTCTGTCACTGAGGTGTGGGTTGGTGTTGTTGCTGAAATGTGCTTGCAAAACCATTTCCAGCCCCTGGCACACTGACGTCCCCTGCAGAGCTCAGGGAGTGTAGTCTCATGCAAGGGCCAAGGGCTCAGTGCCTTGCAGAGGCTGCTGGGAGCGGATAACTTTCTACTGGAATGCAGGCGTGGTACCGCGGTGTGTTTTCAGTGTTCTGGGCCCCTCCGGCAGGTCTATAACTTGACCCAGGAGTTCTTCCGGCATGGTAAACCAGTCAATGCAGAGAGTCAGAACAGCGTTGGGGTGTTCACCCGGGAGGAGGTACGCAACCGCATCAGGGATGACCCTGACGACCCGGAGGCCACCAAGCGCCTGAAGCTCGCCATGATGCAGCAGTACCTGAAGGTAACTTTGTCGTGGGATACAGGGGAAGAATGAGGAAGACAGTTCTGGGGGCGCTGGGTCTGTGGAGGGCTGAGATGCTAGAAGTCTTACTGTTTGTCTGTCTGGAGCTGGTGTCGTCTGACTTCTCTCTGGTCCTCCCATAGGTGGAGAGCTGTGAGAGCAGCTCACACAGCATAGACGAGGTGTCCCTGAGTGCCTTCGGAGAGTGGACCGAGATCCCTGGCGCCCACCACATCATCCCTTCAGGCTTCATGCGGGTGGTGGAGCTGTTGGCCGAGGGCATCCCAGCCCACGTCATCCAGCTGGGGAAGCCTGTCCGTTGCATTCACTGGGACCAGGCCTCGACCCGGCCCCGGGGTCCTGAGATCCAGCCTCACGATGAGGATGACCACAATCTTGACACCAGGGAGGGCAGCCCGAGTGGAGAGAGTTCCCAGGGGTGTGGTTGGGAGGAAGAGGAGCAGTGGCCGGTGGTGGTGGAGTGTGAGGACTGCGAGGTGATTCCCGCGGACCATGTGATTGTGACCGTTTCCCTGGGAGTGCTCAAGAGGCAGTACACCAGCTTTTTCCGGCCAGGCCTGCCCATGGAGAAGGTAGCCGCCATCCATCGCCTGGGCATCGGCACCACTGACAAGATCTTCCTTGAATTTGAGGAGCCCTTCTGGGGTCCCGAGTGCAACAGCCTGCAGTTTGTGTGGGAGGACGAGGCCGAGAGCCGCACGCTCACCTACCCACCAGAGCAGTGGTACCGCAAGATCTGTGGCTTTGATGTCCTCTACCCGCCGGAGCGCTATGGCCACGTGCTGAGTGGTTGGATCTGTGGCGAGGAGGCCCTTGTCATGGAGAGGTGTGACGACGAGGCGGTGGCGGAGATCTGCACGGAGATGTTGCGGCAGTTCACAGGTGCGCTGTGCCCACCCTACCCAGCCCTGTCCTCACAGGTCATCATCTGCGACGCCTGGCAGTCCTCCCTGCCCAGAGTGTGCCTGAGGTTGTTGAGCCCTGGAGAGCTGCTGCAGGCGCTGTGCCTCACCTGTCCTGAAATGGCTCTCAGTTTGAGTGTGGAATGCTCATGGTAGTGTGCTTGGTGTCTGTCCTCTGGCTCAGGGCTGATGGGACAGCAGGCATTCTGCACCAGTCACCCATTTCCTACCCATAATCTTGCTAAGTATTGGATTTGTGTTTTGCTCTGTGATTCTTAGTTGAGTACTTTCTATCCATTAGTCCAGGAGAACTTAAAGGAACTCTTGAAATTAGAAACATAATGGATTTTTTTGTTTGTTTTTCACAGTGCTGGGAATTGTACCAAGGGCTTCATGTATGCCGGACAAGTGCTGTGCTAGTGAGCTATAGCCCCGTTCCTCTTAAATTTCTATCTTAAAAGTAATTAGAGGGACTGGAAGGTAGAACATTGCCTAGCATGTATAAGGACCTGGAATCCATAGATAGAAAGTGCTCAACTAAGAATCACAGAGCAAAACAAAAATCCAATGCTTAGCAAGACTATGGTAGGAAATGGGTGACTGGTGCAGAATGCCTGTTGTACCGAGCACTGGATAAAACAGAGAGAGAGAGAGAGAGAGAGAGAGAGAGAGAGAGAGAGAGAGACCGAGAGACCGAGAGAAAGAGACAGACAGAGAGACAGAGAGAGACAGACAGACAGACAGACAGAGAGACACAGACAGAGACAGAGAGAGAGAGACAGACAGAGAGACAGACAGAGAGACAGAGACAGACAGAGAGAGAGAGAGAGAGAGAGAGAGAGAGAGAGACAGACAGACAGACAGACAGACAGAGACAGAGAGACCGAGAGGGAGAGAGACAGAGAGAGAGACAGAGAGAGAGAGA